AGTGCAGGAATCTCAAACTTTCTGCCCTTGTAGTGTAATATACTATTTCCATCACTATTCGAGATAGCTACAAGCAACAGCGCACCATTCATATAAAAAAAGCTGATGTTTTTAAATATATTACGTATTTTTGGGATATTTGTAAAACCATAATAAAATAAAATGTTATCCTTTATATGTAACAATTACTCACGTTAAATAAATTGATGCTTGCCGAAAACACACCGATCACAAATAAGAATAAATATGTTCGTCCAAAACTTACTTTCAGTAATTCAGAAAATCTTATAGAATAAAACGTTTTATGTTATTATTCTTTCAACAGATCAGTTAAAATGCATAAATTTTTTAAAACATTATTTTAAAATTTAGTTTAAAATAATTTTGTTTTTATGTATGCGAAATCATATTCAGACTACAATTTCAAATAAATATTGTATTGATCGATATATCACACTTCTAGAAGAATACTGTCACAAACTCGCGATATGAATAATAATCATTTTTAAACTCTTAACATCTTCATAATTTAATAACTCATAGTTTAAAATACTAACTCGATCGCTCTTCTATGGAAGTCCACCGCAGCGATTATTCTGTTACGAGATATGGCATATTTCTTAGTTACACACATCTCTCTCTGCAGATTAATTCCGCTTAATATATTCTTCATACGATAACTTAAAGAGAAAGATTCAAGTGTTAAATGTTAAATGAATAGTATAGGAATTTAATGTACGTGTTAAAATTGTAAATGTATTTATTAATATAAAATATGTAGATAATTAATGAAAATATATATAATTATTAATAATACTCTGAAGATATTGGATCCTATTAAATGTTAATTGCACATTATAAATATATGTAAATAATAGAAACAAATGGAATAAGATTTTAAATAAAAATTCAAATTTAACAGACGATTAATCTAATCTCTAATCTAAGCAAATAAATACAACAAAAATACAATGTATTTTAGATAAATATCATCATCATAAAAAATATGCTATCTATTTGAGCAAAAAGAGGAAAGAATATTAATTAAAAAAGTACAGTGTACATACATCATAAATTTAAAAATACGGATAAATTGAAGAAACAAAATTTCTTTAAAAAACTGATAAAAGCAACAAAAAGAGAAGAGAATACTAATTAAAAAATACAGCTATTAAATTTAATAAAATAACAAATAAATAAAGAAACAAAATTATTTTAAAAATAAAACTAATACGAGGTAAGTGATTTACCTAGCTATTTTAAATAATCCGAAAGCGTGTAATGCGTTTGCTAATGAGAACGATTCAGTAGCTATACCACTGGTCGCTAAAAAAAGTACTCCAATAGACATATGTATTGTTATAACATAAAAGTATTTCTGCTGATCAATAAGATATTCCACTGGAAGTATGAGTTCGCGCGGACGAGATTCATTCAAAGGTATTGCAACATCGAGCAAGATTGAGATATGTTGTAAAAAGATGAGGAAGAAAATTGTGGTATAAACCAGTACTGAAATGAATAAAGTATCATTAATATAATTACGTAATATTTTCTTTTATATAAATAAATTTTAGAATTATTTGTTATATCAGTTATATATACTATAAATATAATAAAAATAAATTTTATGATTAAAATTAAAATCTGTATTTTATATTTAATACGAATAATACGTAATCTCTGTCTTAAAAACAAAAAAATTGTTGTTTACATGTAAGACATGTAAGACATATTGTCGGATGAACTATATGAAAGATGTGTGTGTATGTGTATATATTGTACTAGATTTTTCGCCCACGCAAAGCGCAGGCTCAAAATCTATTCCCCTCTCCCCAAACTCACTCATTAATTAGGAGCACCAACAGAACTCCATAAAACCCAATTTTCAACCCCATAATAGCCATTTCCATAAAATTAGTAATCTTTTGGTACCAATTTCATCAAAATCATCAACAAAAAATTAGAAAAATTTTGGCACTGGTTTCAAGAAAATCGATCCATTAATACAAAATTATCCATTAATGAAAAGTTAAACTTATCCTCCAAAAACTAAAACAAAATTTGGTACTGGTTTCAAGAAAATGGGTTAATTAATACTTATTATTTCTCGAAATTTGAATAATTTCCAAACTGGTTTCCAAAAAATCGGTAACAAAAAATTATCCATAAAAAAATTCAGTTTGATACCTCAAAGTTTGCGGAAATTGGAACAATCACGTACATTTTTTTTAAACAGAAATTGGCAACCCTTTCAATATTAACAATTTTTCTAATTTTATTACATTCATTAGTTCTTTCTACCCCTATTTCATATATAATTGTTTAAGATTTGAACAATTATTTCCCAAAAAATTTGAAAAATTTTGGAACCGGCGGTTTCCAAAAAATCGGTAACAAAAAATTATACACTTTATGGCAATCCCCGAAAAATTCCACTCCTACTTCATATATAATTCTTTAAGATTCGGTCCATTAACAAATGAGTTCGCGGACAGACAAACAGTCGGGTTTTATATTATAGTAGTTTTCATAACCGATTTTTATGAAACCGGTTTCCAAAAAATCGGTAACAAAAAAGTAAAAATAAAAATAAAAATAAAAATTATTTAAAAAATTTAGCTTAATATCTCAAAATTTGCAAAAATTAGAGTAATCACGTACATTTTTTAAAACAAAAATTTTAAACCTCTTTATTATTAGCAATTTTTCTAATTTTATTACATTCTTTAAATGAAAACATAAATTATCATTTGTTGTAGATTTAATATCTATATATTGAGCAACAAATACATTTTTAATTAATTTCAACTTTTTTTCAGATGTAGAAATTTATATGTTCACACACATATATGCACAATATAAAGGTACAATTATGAAGAATGATTTTCTTATTTTTAAATTGCGTTTTAATAATTTAGCATCGATAATCATAAACAATTGTTTTATCGTAAGCTATAGTATTTATATATTTAGTATTTACTTATTATAAATATTGTAAATAATTTTCCGAGACTTCCCTGTTTATTTATTATCTCGATTTCTCGATTATCTTTCAAAGCATCCCAGTTATTTCGAACTCGTTCCCGGAATTCTTTAATCTATACTAATAAGTATAGTAAGTATTATTGTTATATAATATTCCATTAAATTAAATTGGTGTTGGACTTACATTTTTTAAGACGGCATAAAATGTTACATATTTTATAGAACATATTAAGAAAAGGATGTGATAAGAAAGTACATCTAGTAAAAGATCAAAGCTATATTCTGAGACAAATAATTTTAGCGGCTGAAAAGATTATGGTACATAATGACTGAAATAATATGATATTACAAAGTATAATATAAGAAAAAACACAATATAAATACTAAAATATTTGATAACATAAAAAAATGTTATATACGTACATTCATATCAGTATATTACTAGAGTAAAATATTATATGAGAGGGGACTTATAGATATGTCATAAAATTGTCTAATTAAAAATGCAAATTAAATAATTATACAGATACCTGAGTACTTGTAAACGATATCATTATTAATAAAGATAGTATAAAACGAAAATATCTGATTTTGAAATCATCATATGGCCAAAGACCAATTGTTGATAGCAAAATTCGATTCAGTTTATAATATCGCTCTTCAGGAAACTCCATTTCAGACAACAGTTCAAACATTACTGTGAGCATATAGACAGTACTGTCCATAAAAACTTTTCTCTCTCTTACATCAATTTTTATAATTACTTTTTTTCGTTTCTTGGCACTTTTTGTAACGCACGTCTACTGTATGTGTTATTCAGATAGAAGATATATATTTAAAGTTAGAAATTCTTAAAATGCGCTTATGTGTATCTATGCAAATGGAGATAAGATAATAAGAAGAAGCAAGAAAATGCGCAACTCTAGAGAGCGACTATAATCTACTTATAGACATGCCTATTAAGGATAATGATGATAAGTAATAAATTGTCATAATTTTTTATGCGATAGATATGAATATTTTCTGTATTTCTTGTTTCTTAGGCGCAAGCGCAACACACAATGTACTATTGCTTTAGCGAAGCAGATAGGGAAAGATGTACTGTGATACTTGGGTTGAAGTATCCCGTGTTTGTGAATTATCTTACAATTAGATCGAATAATTTGTAACGTAAAATTTGTTACAGTGTCATCACCGGATTCTTCAGATCTCATTATCAGTACAATTGTAAAACAAAAGTATCAAAATTATAATCAATAAGATGGAAGCTTGCAATATACAAAATGTCAAGTTTTTTTAAATTTTACTTCTTCTTTATGAATGTATATCAATATAATATACATTTTTATAAAATTCTTTTATTAGTATACATTTTTTAAATAATGATATGTCAGGTTGATATTGATTAATTTGTACTTCTCGTGGTATTTTTGGTATTATCGTTGAACAGTGTAGAAAGAGCGCTATCTCTCTCTCTCTCTCTCTTTTTCTTCCCTAACATTAAACCGAATGCGCATACATAACCAAATACTCTAATTATTTTATAATTATAAACACGTGACAATATTAATGTTATGAGCACAATACATTTACATGCTTTTTATATAATATTATATGTATATACACAGGGAGTGGGACAATTTAAAGTATCACAAGCTATTATCTCTGAAAGTGTTAGTTCATTGGAAAAATGTACGTTTCAGATAAAAGTTGGAGGGTTCAAAGAGAGTCAATAGACGATTGTCCCTACTGGACCCAACACGGACCCCCCAGACCCAAAACCTAATAAAATCGTCTATTGACCCTCTTTGAACCCTCCAACTTTTATCTAAAACATTTTTCCAATAAACTAATACTTTCAGAGATAACAGCTTGTAACACTTTGAATGCCCCATCCAGCATCCTGTATACATATACATACATATATATTATATATATTTTATGTACATTATTTTTCTATTTAATATTTGTTACAATAATTTACCTATTACTGAAAATATTAACTGCTAATTTTTATATACCTAAAATAGTTATTATGTAATGAATCATCCCAAATTTGCATATTTTCGAATTATTTCGAGTTCATCCATATCTTTCAAAGTATTCCAATCATTTTGGACCCATTCCATGGCCTCTTTATCTAATGATTATAGATTGATTTTTACCAATCATGAAACAAGAAATGAGGAATGAAAAAGTTCTTAGTATAAGTATTATACCATGTCTTCTTGCGTTGTAATTATCTTCGTAATTTATACTTTTTTAAAGAAGCATAAAACAATGATTGAATAAAATCTATATGTCAAATAAGGGGCTATTGTGGCATAAGTTGATAAAAATCATGGATTTTTCGAAGAAGTATATGACTAAATGAAAAGTTTAACTGTAATTGTAAAGAACCTTGTAAGAAATAGATAAATCGATTTTAATTAAGGCTTTTTCAATGCATATATACATATATTTTAGCATTTCGAGAAAGAAACATATGTATATATTCGATTTGTGTACATTTATCCTGATCGTGCGATATTACGACGATATATGGAAACATAAAGCTAGATAATATTAACATTTTAACTCATCGTTTAAATATTCTCAGGTAGCAGAGTGACGTCAAATGACGTATTAATAACGTCTTAATGACGTCTCTAACGTCAATAAAACGTCATTAAGATGTCTTTACACGTCATCTTGCTACCTGGGTTGTTTCATCATACGGCCACAAACCAATTAATAACAAAAGCATATGCGATTGAGGATGTAATGCTTCCATTGAAATCTATTTTCGACAACGGCCAAAACTGTTCTGAGGGAAAATGTGAAAAGAGATATGAATAGAAAACTGCACAATAAACTCTCTAATATTACGGTTTAAATTCACATATATCAGGGTATAAATAAATTAAGAACAGATTAATGCTTATGCCCTTAATCTTTATAGGACCGGACCCTTTTTTGGACGATCTTTTTAGTTTTAGTGCTAGAACATTTTTGTCCTTGTCAGTGAGTTAAACTATACGAAAAGGACGGCGTCACTCCAACGCCTAATATTAGGCTTCTGGTCCCGAAGAGGGAGGTTAATAGATAAATAAAATACTGATAAGTAAAATTAAGTAATGTTTTTGTCTAAAAGATTTATAATTTGATAAAGTAATGTACATTTATCAATCAATATTTAATTATAAAAAGATCAAAATTATTAGCACATATTACGGACAATGTTAAACAAATATTATAAAGTTAATAATATTATAATTGTATTATTTTTACTATTAGTCGTAGATAAATAAAAAAAAATAGATCATTATAAATCATTATAAATTTTAATCAATTAACAATAATATAATACAAATAAGTAAGAAAAATGAAGATAATTGATATGGAATTAATTATTTATTATTAATTATTACGTTTTTGTCACATTTTTCACTATTATTAAAGTTTAACAAATTTAAATAATGAAAATGATTTGTGAGTATTTCATTATATTATTATTTTTTCTATTACTTCAGAGTTGACTACAACTTATGTTATAAAAAAATTTTTTTTTAATAGCATTATTTCTGTACTGACCAGAGTACCGTAAAATACGACAGAGTCGTGCTCATAAGCTGAAATTAAAAATTTATGTTATGGAAAGGAAGTTATACAATATAATAAGTAAAACAGAACTATATGAATCTTATAATTAATTGTAAGAGAAAATGCTCTTTTCGGTCAAGCTGGATTTGAAAAGTTTAGTCGAATTAGAAAATTTCAGACAGAAATATCTATTATTATTAGATTACCAAGATCAAGCCCGACTGAAAAAAGCATCATCTCTAATTAATTGTAAGAGAATTATATATCGGCAATTTTTATTTAACTTTTTAGCGATGGTATGAATTATTAAAGATTAATTCATATAAAATGCGTATAAAAAAAAAGAAGATAATTATGAATATTAATTGCAAGTGAATTTTAAACACATAAAATACATTTAAAAAATGAATAAGTTAAAAGCTTTGTAGGTATTAAAACTTGACTATCTCTAAACGAGTTAAATATTTTGCTTTACTGGCGTTGCATTTACCGTTGCAAAGCCTTCTAATGATGGAACAAACATTCCGCCCACGACCATCTTGCAACTTCTCATACTTCTTTGCATTATAATTGGCAATAATTTTTGTGCTTGTAAAGGTGCGCCTTGCCATCGTATGACGTATCTAAAAGTTTATTTGGATATTAGTTTTCATCATTTATGACTATATCTCATACTATTAGTACAATATGGAATTATTTTGAGCGCTTCTCTTTTGCTTTTATATTTACATATATATAAAAAACATATATAACATCTATAGAAAGCATATCTTAAAGACTCAATCACAATAACTGCATGGTATTAACCATGTTATAAATTTGGTATCAATATATTACAGGAAGAGATAATAATAATTAACAATCAAAATATTGTTTAATTATTATTGTTAGTGCTATTGAATAGGTAAATGTATTTTAGTCATTATTTAATCATGTATATTATAATATTCGGCAAGAAATGGAAATGTAAAAAAATCTGTTTATTGTAGATATTTTTTTCAAAATTTAAAAAAATTTTTAGAATTCTGAAATATATTCGAACACATTATGTATACTTACGTGTTCTGAAAAATACCAGCGCTGTGATCTATTAAAATTTGACCAACGTAGTTACCCAAGAACAAGTACAAAATGTGACCAAAGGTAAATAAAATTAATGTTACGATTTCATCAATTTTCTTTACATACAGAACTGCTTGAAAAAGCTAAAAAAAGTATGAGCAATGAATTGAACAACTTTAGAAATAAATATTAGCCATATAACATATGTTAATAAAAGATTCTTATAGAAAATAACATGTGTTTTTCAATTGTATGATTGAATATTATACTTTCATGCATGCACGCACACACATTTGTATATACATATCTAGAAACGCGCGCGCCCTGTCTAATTAACAACGCTTTAAGAAAAACTTGTTATTTGAAAATATAATTAAAAGAATAGGTATTACTCACACAGAAAAGATGAATAATTAGAGATGTAATACCGATTATAAGAAGAATGCTGTATGATATCGCCAGAGTAGACCACAGGGATTCGGAAAACCTTGAAGAAAGAGAAACTATTGCATCGATTATTGCATCATCGTTGCAATTGTCGCGTGCTATATACTCTCCTTACTCTGCGCGATTTTTGAGAGATTTTCGGATCTACACTCTCAGAAAAGAATTCTAGATACAATACTATTAGGATCGAAATAGGGCCAATCATATTTAGTATTGAAAGAAGAATATTTTAATCTTAAATAAAGGAATTCTTAAATTAGACTTCTAGAAAAAAGAATATTTTAATCTTAAATAGAGATATTCTTAAATCTAGAATAAAATAATCTTGATGCTATCCCTCTAATTTTCTCAGAATTATTCTAGATTCAAGAATTCCTCTATTTAAGATTAAAATATTCTTCTTTTAATACTAAATATGATTGGCCTTATTTCGATCCTAATAGTATTGTATCTAGAATTCTTTTCTGAGAGTGTAACGATATAAATATCAATTCTCATAGAGACTCAATAGTTCGATATATTAATCGATCAATCAAATATCTTTCTGTTTACTATATACTTTACTCCGTTTTACTATAAACAAATTGCATTATACCGACTCGAGAGCTCTTTTGTGAATGCGTATAGCTTCAATTATCCTTTTGCAAATGATGATTGGTTGTTTTTCAGATGTGTAACCTTGTAAAAACTTATCATTGAATGCTTGATCCATCCGATAACTGCATAAATAACGATTGTACGTTGTAAAATTGATAGCGTATCAATTATAATTAAAGAACTCAAAGAACTCAAAATAAAATAAAAAATATCGAATGGCATAACAAAAATAAAATCAAACAATCTACATTATACAGAATCTTTTTTTATTTTATTACCTGGCAATTTGAAACATTGCGCAAGCATGTTGTACGTATGTTACGTACAACGATTCAGTGCCTATCAAAGTAGTGATTATTATGCCTATTGTAATGTCTAGTTGTAATAAAATTGCATAAAAAAACTTTTGCTGATCGACAAAGAACTCTCCCGGAAATATGAATTGTCGTTGACGCGAGATGTTCAATGGCGCAATGATGTCGAGGATGTTTGGTATCAACGGCACGAAAAGATAAATTAACACACCCACAAAACCCAGTACTGAAATTACGAAAGAGCGTACTTTCAATACAATTATATGTTACGATTATTTAAAAAGTTACATATATGTATCTCTTTCTTACTTGTCAAACTCAAAGTGCACATACTTCCAATGTAAGTGTACTTTTCTATGATCTCTAATTCTTTTTTATCTTTAAGCATATTCCAATCTTCTTCTACATGATCCATGAGATATCTTATCTGTTCACAAAGAATTATAAAATGAGGAAGCTTAAATGTACAGGCAAAGTTAATCGTTTTTTGTAACAAATGTTAACATATGTTTTCAAATTTATATATAGATCTGTTACATATTATAAAAAATGAAAAAGAAATTTGTAAATTTGTATTGTGCGTTTTCATATCGCATAAATACAAAACCTAAATAGACGAAGAAATATAGTTGATAAGACTATCACACATAGCAGATTAGCAGAATAGAACGTACATTACCATGTAGAGTGGATCAATATTTAATAAACAATTTTATGTATCCTATGATAAAATCAGCAAAGCGCTTGTTTATTTTAATGACATCTTTTAATAGGATATTTTAAAATAAAAAAGGTGAACAATATAAATATACGGATGGCAATGTATTGTTGACTCACCTTTCTAGCGACAATACAAAACGTTTGATATTTTATTATATAAATGAAGCAAATTATGATAGGAGAGAGAACTTTTAGCATGACATCATTTTGTTTTAATGACATCAATTTCGCAATCTATAAAACCATGAATTTCGATAACTCAATATATCACTCAATATATCACTCAATATATCACTTATCACAAGTTATTAATTTTTGAAGCAAGCAAATCTTGCGTTTATAGTATTAACGGGATAATAATTTCTTGCATAAAAGCTATAATGTATTATGAGTAAATGACACAGAGCATGTTTAACATGTGATAACACTTTTTGTAAAGTTTAGGATAATATTCTTACCTCGCAAATCGTCGTGATTATTACAATAATGTTACAAAGTATTATTTGACAGTACTTGTAGATTGAACGCTCATACGGCCATAAGCCAACTGATAACAAGAGACGTCGATTGAGTTTATAGTATCCATCCCCGACGAAGTTCATCTTCCCGCGGCTGTCACAATACTTCTGCGCTGAGAAACGAAGAGTTACCTCCCTCTACCACTATTTTCCATATTTGTTGAACCTATCGTATTTTTCGCTATATTACATCTCGCTTGTCTATGAAATAAGTGCGAAGAATAAGTACTGCAATTTATACACATATATAAGTTTAATACAATTTAGTAATTTATAAAATTATCAGCGTATTAGAAAAACACGCGCATTTCACATATCATGTCTATAATATTCACATAAAACGCGCGAAGATAACACGTGGAGAAAAATTAGTAATCTGCGCAATTATAATGCAAGCCCCTTTCTTCAGAGGGATAATTTTCTTATACCAGATACCTACATTTCTTTTTTATAGGAGATACATTCCTTTTCATTGATCGTCAAACCATGAGTGGTAGTGTTTCGTGTTGAAGTAAACAGTTTTAGTATATTAGCTTGTTGTTTGAAAACTTTAGAAACACGAAATACATTTGAATGTATTTAATCCTAGCTCGCTACACTCTCCTCTCAGAAAAGATTTCTAGATACAATACTATTAGGATCGAAATAGGGCCAATCATATTTAGTATTGAAAGAAGAATATTTTAATCTTAAATAGAGGAATTCTTAAATCTAGAATAATTCTGAGAAAATTAGAGGGATAGCATCAAGATTATTTTATTCTAGATTTAAGAATTCCTCTATTTAAGATTAAAATATTCTTCTTTCAATACTAAATATGATTGCCCCTATTTCGATCCTAATAGTATTGTATCTAGAAATTTTTTCTGAGTGGTCCAGTGGACTACTTCTCGGTTTTCTATTATAGTTTTCACATAATAATTTTCTAGTTTCCTTATGATAAGTTCAGTTTAAAGTTAATAATTTTCTTGACCTGATATTATCGTAAACATTTTATTCAGACTGTATTTCCAATTTCTACAGTACAAGCTTAAAAATATTAATTAGAATGAAAATGACAATATGACAAAGTCGAGTGGTCTCACGGACCGAAGTGTGGCGAAATAAGAACTTGAAAATAAGTGTGGCTATAGCTGTAGGATTAAATCTCTTAAAATACATTTATTTCATATATCTTTTTAAAATATGATATACATGACATTAAGGTAAAGAGGATAAACAGAGATTATGTTTTTTTACAGTTTGAAAGTATTCATACAGTGTAAAATATAATTATGAATATACCTGAGACGCTTTCAATATTTATTTAATAATCTAATAATCTAAAGATTAATTTAAAGAAGATAAAACATTGTTTCACGTTATTAGTATTTCAGCTTTACTTATTAATGTCATCGCTGCATTGACTATATAAACTCATAAAATAAAGTAAGAATGTGCTCTTGACTAGAATTTTTATTCTTTAGCATATCCGATGCACAATCATACTTTATTTCTAAATAATAATATTAAATATCGACACTTATAAAATTGACATTTAATTGATATCTTTCTTCTTTTTTCAAATATATATTTGTTTTCAAATATATGTTGTTTATGTAGATGATATCTGTTAATTAAGAAATTTTTTATTTTACTTCATTATTAGATATATATTTAAATATATAATTTGATATTCCTATTGCTAATCTTTATTATGAGAGGTGTTTTTCACTACCAAATATAATAGTACCATAAATAAATACAATAAATTATATTCATTGCTTAATTTTTCTGTGAGCATTCGATTCTAATTGTTCGTATAGTATTTTACATTCAAAACAAGACCTCTGTATTTTCGTTCAGTGTTTCATATGCTATATTTGTAACGATAAAAGACATAATTATAAACATAAAAAATATTCAACTAAAAATTAATGACTTTTTTCTTTTTAAAATTTATTAAGCATATGTATTCTGACATCTCACGAAGACTCATTGTGAATCTTATCCATGAAAAAAAACCATGTCAAAATTTTTTTAAAATTATATACGACAGATGTAATGATAAAACTTTTGCGCGAAAAAGTAATAAAAATATTGCATATTATGTAAGTCAGTTACTCCAATGGGTAAACAGTACAGTGCGACGCGGCGTCGCGTCGACGCCGATATCGCGACGCAGCGCGGGCGCAATAGCGTGCAAGGGTCTCCATTTGCGACGTTTCCCTCAATACAGTATGAACCGTCATGCGAAGAACACTTCGCTCGTATAGTATATTTTCTTCATCGCCGCGAAACATCGTGTCTCCGTAGCATTAGTGATATTAAACGGTGTATCCGTGAATTTCTGTCTGCTCGTGAAGCGCTGTGTGCTATTAATAAATTGTGATGTGTGTGATGTGCACTTTCTTAATTTCTAATGAAATTTTCGATAAATCGTGCACAAAACAATAATACACTTAAAATAACTATAACTGCACTTTAATATGCAGATAAGCAGAATAAGAGACATGAGATATACCAAGGTAAAAATACAAGTGATATGTATAATATTTAAATAAGAATTCTTTTGCACAACTCTACTCTGTAAAATTTTCTATAAACAAAATTATTTTTCTTTCTTTCTTCATAATTACATCTTTGGCGTAAAATTCAATTGATATATTTGCTGTTAATAACGTTAGTAGCGTTTTAACTATAATATAGAAAACGTAAAAAGTAGGATATAAAATAAATTTTATAAAAATCTTAAATCTTCCTGAAATCTTCGCGTATACTATTTTGTTACAAATTATTTATATTAAAAATAAAATAAAATTACATATATATCTACATATGTATATGTACACACATATCCATGTATACATATATACATAAGAAAATTTACTTAATGACCTAAAATTACTCGTAAACTAATATAACTTGACATAGAACTTTTATTGTAAATATCTTATTAGTAAATATAAATTTTTTAGACCATATATCGCTTAATATTTTTTCATTTTGTATTTAATTCAATTTCCATATAAACGATATAAGATGGTCCATTAAAAAAATTTAAGATAATCTTCAAAATTCGATATATGTATAAAAAGGCAAGAAAAAAGGCGAAAACATTATAATGCATATCCTTTTACGCCAAGTATAACTTTTGTTCTAAACATTTCCCAAATACAAAAAATAGTTTGCAAATAATTTCAGGTTATCAAATAAGATAAATTGTCGTGTATCTATAAGTATTAATTATATGTGATTTGTTCAATATCTTAATCAGTTATGAAGAAACAAAAATACAGCCGTACATTTTACTTTTAAAATATTTTGTTTAAATATGAACAACGATATGAGAATGTCCATGAAAAGTACACTTTTTGAAGATTTAAATTATTCCAAAAAATAATTAAAAATAAAAGGATCTGTTTTACAGTATTGTGATAGTTTCCAGTGAAGTTTAGTAAAACTCTTTCGGGTTAGTCACGCTTTGCGTGATAACTTTTAACTATCCTTCCCTAAATAATTATATATTTCGACTTTCCCTCCGTCAAATTGTCCTTATACTTTTGCCATCATTATAAAATTACAGTGTATGAATGAAAAGGTAGTATTTAGATATCGATGCCATATGCAATATAAAAAAAGGGATGACGAACTTATTGATCGGAGTTTATGGCATAAAAGTATAAAATATAATGGTAATTATTCTAATATGTTGCTAACGGGATACTAATAACGTTTGTGATAAACGTATTTTATTCTGCATTAATGAATTGTTTCATAATTACTAATACGGTCTTCATATTCATAATACAATTTTCGATTATATCTATATATTACTAGGACTTGCTGTCTGTTTTGCTCTTAACGTACTGAATATATCATAGTGAGGTAAGACAACGTTAAACTCGCCATCTAAAAGACATAATTATATCATAACATTAAAATCTAAATTAAATTATAAATTTAAATTATTTCAACTAGTTTTTATACCATTTTTGCATAGTTATATTATTTTCATTAATGCTATTATAATGATATTATATATTTATTGTCTTTTAATTATAATTATTCGAATCTGTAACGGTAGAAAAACCTATCATTACCGAAGCGAAACCTTCCAGCGATACCATAATTACACCACCACCAATATTGACCACGTAAGCCTTCATTGTTCTTTGCAGTATAAACACAAACAGTTTTTGAATATGCTTAATGCTGTATACTAGGTACATATACCGGGTATATCATATCTACGTGCATAATTGCATATGAGAATGCATCCCATTGTTGAATTCTATTCATTATTTCCTTTATCTAGTAATATTAGTGATAATTAAACGTGAACGTCAATATTACATTTTAATTTCGATTAAGTAATTTTTTTTTAAATAAGTAAGATAATTTAGTAATTTAGATTAAATTTTCCATATACATACTCTATCAATACTAATAATGTAGCTAAAAAACTTGAAGGCAGAAATGAGACTAGGGATACAGTATAATACGTTAGATAGTACACAAATCGGTCGAAATCATGAATCGCGCTGTGAAATTTGGTTAGTTGCCAAAGAAGAAATTTTATTACACACCAATGATTGATTTTTCAATTCAAAGAAAATATATCAAATCACTATTACAATTATCTATCATATAGAATCATCTTTTCAAATGTTAGTTAACAACGATGTGTGAACAAAGTTACCTGAGTAATACAACCAGACACAAAGATGAAAGCCGTGAATACTCTGTAAATATGTATATAATTATATTGGAGGAAGTATTAAACGTGAATATTCAGTTAAAATATCCGCACCGTAAAAGAAAAGTTACATTAGAATGAGGTGTGTATAATAGTTAATATTGTGATATATTTAATGAATCATAAAAAGTATTTTATTTATTGCTAATTATAATACACATGTTTTATTTATCAGATTTATTATCAGTTAGGAGCTAATATTATATTTATATCGAAATATATATGATTGTTAATGCTGGAGAAGCGAGATAAAATATAGCCCAAAAAATATGTCTTATATAAATAATCTATGATGCAATAGCAATAAATTCAAAAAGTGAAGAAGCGCACTGCATTGTTGTTTCAAAATTAATTTTATTAATAAATATGCAAAGAAGGGTACATGTATTACGCATACGCATTCTAAACCTGTGAATCGGATTCTTTAAACCTGACTATTATCCTTTTCGTAGCTTTCTTTGTGTGTTCCCATGGATTGAAGGACCATAACGTAGGATACAGACATACTTATGAGCTGTAGTAAGTATTAAAAATCTTTTTCTCTTATGGAATTGATCAAAATAAAATTGCCCGTAATATTCCTTACCGTAGCAAAACCTTCTAACGACGCATCAAATAAACCTCCAGCTGTTAAAGAGCTCTTTCTGTTACTTCTTTGCATTATAAGTAGTATAAACTTTTGCATACATAATGGCGCAGCATACCACTGTGCATTATATCTGTTGATACATATACAGATATACATATACATCACTTAATATTAATTAATCTATTTGATTAAATAAAGTCATTAAATGATATCAAATAAACTTCTTGATTTTTATCAAGTTTTGAATTTGCAAATTATATTTAGCGAGATAAAAAATTACATATTCTGAATTATTCACATATTACAGCAGGAATTACAGTCGCCAAATTGTATTGTAAACAAATTAAAAATAGTATAAAATTGGAAAAATGTGTTTAATACTTACGTTGCTTGACAAATGCCAGTACTGTCGTCTATAATGTTCTGTCCAACATAATTTGCCACAAATAAATAATATAAGTGTATAAGTATAATGATACAGCACACCAATATGTCAATTTTTTCCAGGGATAATACTGCATTAATAAACTTGAATCGAACATTATTAATTACATATCCTTTGTATAGTTTCATATTTGTATATCATTATATTAATTAACCTTCTTCGAATAAATGATATTATGTTCTTTTCGCAATACCTGCATTTAAGCTTACATTAAAGAAACTGAGACTCGTCGAAGCCAGACCAAATCCTATTAACACGAAATACAATGTCGCAAAACTGTTCGTCAAAATATTGGCCAAACTTTAACAGCAAAATGTGTATTTAATATCATAATTCACTAATTAATCAATTCAATAATATTTAAGTCTTTGCGCTCAGCCTTTTCTGCGAGGATTTTTAGACATATTCAATTGTAAGAAAAACGGAAGTTTATTAGATTCTGCTGTTTTTAACTTTGTTTATAAGATGCGTTATCTTTTATGTGAACACAAATTTATATTTGTATGGCGATCATAACACAGAAAAATGTGCACTGCTCTAATAAGCCGAAGATCCGAGTTCAAATCCAATCAAAAATCGTCTATTTTCATTCGATCGCTATATATACCTCTCGGAAAAGAGTGGCAACCCACCGAGAGTATAATATCTCTTGCCAAGAGTATCCTATCCCTCTATATTTGAGGCTTCCTGATCCTCCAGGTTGGAAGTTGGGCGCTAGGTTAACAACCTGTCCAGTTAAAAAAATTATCGTTAAGAAACCAGAAGAGAGGCCTCGGGTTTAATGAAGGCCAAACTTCAGAAGGCCGGCTCGATCTTGAGCTGTAGTGCCATTGAAGAAGAAGAAGAAGAAGATATTAATATTTGTAATACATCGTGACAATAATTTTGTTTTATCCAGGCAAAATAGGTTTCGAGTGCAAAGGAATGATATACATTAATACTAACTCCACAGCTCTACGATGAACGTATACAGCGTGAATTAGTTTGTTGTAAAGTATGTGTTGTTTAATGTCCTTTGGCATTAGTTGTACATTTTCAAATATGTGTTCTATTCGATGGCTATGAAAATAATATACGATGGATCTAAACTTGTTCTTATATTGGTTTTTCATTTAAGTAAATCAATGAAACTTGTGATATTTAGATATAAAATAACTGTTGTTTTTACCTGGCGATTTTAAACATAGCGCATGCGTGCAACACGTACGCTATGAGTATTGTCGCATAAGCCACTATTGTCATCGATCCAGCATATTGATTTAAGACAATATGTGTCAAAATAGGAAAAAAGTATGTTTCTTCGTCGACAAAGTATTCCACATTAATTACCAATTGTCGCGGTCGCGATTCATTCATTGGTACGATCACATCGAGTATAAGAGGTAGACAAATTATTGTTAACAATATCAATAAACTGCTAGTAATCAAGCCTGAAGCAAGTGAATTATGCCACGTATTTGACGTAGTATGAAAAACAATGCATATTTTTTATATTTTATTAAAGAAGTACTAGTACAGAGAAAAAAATTATACAATATGTATTAGTAATTTAATTGTATTTGTATCAATTGAAGTGTGTTATTGTTTTAAAACATTTTATATAACTTTTGTAAAAGATTTTGGTTAAATATTATAATATAGAAATTTGCATGAATATAACGTGTAAATGCATATAAAATGTATTAAAATTCATCTAAAAATAATATATCATAAAAAAAGAAATTGATTGATATACGATTGACATTTGATTTTATATCTTACACGTAAAGCAGATCGTATATAATTTTGCATTGTCAGCATATCTTCGTATCACTTCCAATTCCGACTGAGCCTTTAACATATTCCAATCATATCGAACTCTATCGAAGATATATTTGATCTACGATCATAAATAAAGTATCTTATTCGGTAATTCTTTTTTGGTATTACATGTCTTTTTATTATTTTTATGTTATTACAATGGTTCTTTAATATATGTCAAATAATTACATATAAATGGTAAATAACGTATATATAAATATAATGTTATATTTATATAAAGTTATTTAAATCAGAAAATGAAAAAAATAATATAGATAAAAAATATTTTTGCAACAAAAAATCTTACAAGAACACATCAAATGCATCAAAACCAAGTGAATACTTACGTTATCGCTGAGAAGAAGACATGCGTTATATTTTATAATATAAACACAGTTTATAATAATAAACATAAAAATTTTGGCAATACAATTGCTGCTGTGCTGTTTTACAAGAAATGTATTGCACTGAAAGCAGTAGCCTTATTGAACGATTATAGCAAAAATGTGAATAAACATTATTTTACATAAAAATAAATCCATTTCATATTATAGGCAAAATTGTCAATATTTGTATTACATTTGACATAAACTTTTATTTAAATAAATAAAATACATGTGAAATGAAAAACCTAATACCTGGCATACTAGAAAGGATATGAATAACGTTTGGAAAAAGATTATTTGAGTTTTCTTCAACGTTGAAACTTGATAAGGCCAAAGACC